TAAGGAAAGAAATTCAGAACTAAGAGTTGACAGTAAAGCCTAAAACACACCTAAAAAGCTCCTAACACCACTTTTTGATGGGAAGGAAAACACAGAATTGGGAAAGAATTTAAATCCCGTTATTCACGCATTGATTGTACAATGCCCAACTGTTGATTTACTGATGTATTTAAATACTTCATTGTTAATGTATTTGTAAGAACTTAACTGCAGTAACATCTCAGAAGCAAAATTTAATTTACTATATAATTATAGAAAGCCTAGAAAGTAATACTCATTAAATGTTTTTATTACATAATCTTAAAAATATCTTTTTTTTTCCAAAGTATTTACCCATCTTTAGTGCTTCATAAATCTAAAAGATTTTGGAAAGATTTTTTGTTATTGTTGCCTTTATTTGAAAATCAAACAGTACTACAGCTAATTTAAATAAACCTCTCTCTCTCATGGAACATAATTTCAAAACATTTAATACATTAAACATTCTGTAAGATGACCATTTTGGATTAGGTAGTTCATCCTGATTCCTACACATAAATGATAAAATATATTTAACGAGTATTCTTTCAATAATAATAACAAAAGGAAATTTTCAGATAAGGTCTGTGTATGCTTAGAGATAGCCTCCACAAGGCTTAAAGCTTATTTTCACCTTACCAGTAAACCCTTACCTGAAAATAAGAAGGTATAAACCAGACAGATTAAGGACACTTAGAGAAAAGAAGAATATTGACAAAATTCCTTAGTATCAACTCAATCAGAAATTCACAAGCAATGTACTCTATTCCACAAGTAACATACTTGCATGTATTTCTTCCAATCTACCTTCATAAATAGAAAGCTTTTTATTTTTTTTTTTAATTAAACATTAAACAGGACCTTAAACAAGCCATGCTAAAAAAGAAGTTCAATTAATATCTTCTCAAGACATTAAAAATGGGTAAGTTGAACACAAAGTCACCTCACATAACTGAACAAACTCTTCCTGCAATAATTTCTTTTAAAAATTCCTGGATGTGACTACATCAGTCAGAGTGACAAGGAAAAGAAGACTAATACACAGGAATGAATGGAAATATCTTTTCAAAAAGCTACTTTAATGGCATATGTATTTTATTAGCAGTAAAGATAATGAAAATGCAAAGAGTGTGCAATTGCTAGCAATTAAATTCCAAAGTGTTAATATAAATAGAGCAAAAGATGTGGTGACATACTTGATTTTCTACAGAGAAAATAATGAGTACCTGTTTTAAATCAGGAAGCAGCAGATACTTTCAAGATCAAAACCACTTCCTGTTAAACAAAGGGGATAAAATTCCTTTACAATTATTATCATTATTAATCCATTCTTTGAAAGATTATTTATAGAAAACCTTTCCGTTTTGGAAATTCATAACATTATTAGAATATAAGAAATAATTTGGATTGCCTATGCCTAAAAGAGAGGAATTACAAAATTTGGTGAGGTATTTCAAAGAACATAGCAACTTCTAGATACAGAAAAAATATACTGGAAGATGAAACTGAATTTTTGACACGAAGGCATAGAGTCAGGGAATGTAAATGTTTGGAAAGAGCAGACTTTATAATATATAGGGAAATATATTAGGATTTTTTGTTTTGACTGCTGGAATACTTGAAGCTTTCTCTGAGCTCCCTCTCGTGAGCAGTTGCTGACACTGCACCAAAAGCATCACCACCAGCAGGACTCGAATAACGTACGAGTGGTGATTTAATGTTAAATTACTTGTTTCTTAATGCCCTGTGCCCCAAAGACTCCTGTTAGGATCCAAAGATATTATCCGTTGACAGTTATTTATCCTTAGAAGGAAGAGTATATAAATAGAAAGACACCCCACTCCCCCAACCTAACTCCTAAATCTGCTTCTCTATCTGGTGCTTCTGAAGAGCTCCCAACCCCTCACTCCAGTGAGAAAAAAAATTACACTTAGAATTAAATTACAATCTAATTACAATTAGATTACAATCTTCATAAACATTCATAGCAGTGTTCAGAGAGTGAGCATTACCCATTTTAGAAGTACAATGATACATACCTTTCTAATACTAATGAAAAAAATGTATTTTTAAAAAGCCCTTAAAGTTTCTATCCTGTAAGGAACCTTTTACCAGGATAAAATTACCCGTTCAGTCAAAGCTTATTTTAATTAAACCATTCTCAATCTGTTTCTCTCTTGTAAAGCATCTTGCATTAGTTCTTATCAATGCACTGCAATAAACTGCTTGTTTTTATTAAAGATCCTGTGTAAATGGAGTTACAAATTGCAGAGATAAGGACTTAAGGAACTAGCACAGCCTATTACAGCCCTGACAGCTATTCCACATTTGTAAGCATCTAATGACTTTATCTTACTCTGAATTAGACTGTTTAGATTGTAATTTCGATGAATTCCTCTGAAATCCAAAGAGGGGAATTCTGTATAAGAACAGTGAGAGTGATCCTTATGCATACAGCTGGAAACCACACCAAGGAAACCACCTACAGCCATGTGAGAAACGTCATTTTCTTAATAAGTGTGTAAGTCAGTTCCTGCCCGTATGCTTCATTAGCCGTGTATTCCAGTGCCCATATTACACACCAGGTCTGATAATAAATTAGTACAAATCACATTAAATATTAGTCCTGCTATTTATTGGGTAATTTAGGATACTTAAAAAGTGTGCCAATTAAGTGTACCAAATAAAAACCTTATTGTTGTATGTGCTATTGCAATAGGAAACCCAAAGAGCAAACAAAATAAACTAAACCAAGATCTGACCTAAAAAAACCGTAAGTTGAACCCTTTCTTCACACATCCTTGGGATAGTAAAGATCTGAAGAGGCAAATTTTAAATACTTTTTTTTTTTTATTATTCTGAAGGGAACAAACTCTTATAGTAGCAGTCTAAATATCATCAGCAATGGAAAGGTTGTTGTTATTTGTGTTTTTTTTTTTCTTTTTATCATGTGTTCAATTTACTAGTTGGGGAATTATCAGCAAAACCTTGCAACACCGCCAAGCACCATTCTTCAAGGTATTCCTTGTCATGTCAAATGAAGTCATAGACTTCATTTCTGCAATCCATTTCCATGGACAGGGACCTACCTTGAGTATGTCAGCCTGCAACCAAAAAAAGGATCAACAACAAAGCTTGCAAATCTCTTCCTATCTGGAACATCAGTAAGCCAGTAAGACAATAAAAATATGAAACTTTTGATAAAAAAAATATTCAGCAATGCCAACAAACAGCTTTAATTGCACGCTAGAAAGTTTCTAATCTCAAAGGAGCCTAATTTGCTTTCTAGCCTAGAGTCACAAAAACGGTCCTGGTCTTTGAAATCATGCCAGTTTATTTAACATTGCCTTCCTCCCAGAGAAACACTGCCTGTAATTTTGAACATCCTGCAGCAGAGAGGCAGAGCACACTAGCTATCAAATTCTAGTTGTTCATGCCACTGACTGGGAAACGCCTGCTGTTTGATTTCTTTTAGAAGGCCAGCCACATTTGAACTGGCCAAGTTTATAGAGATGACTTTCCTAATTAGATTCAAAGACTGATTTGCTATCTCAGCAATAGTTTTTAAATGTACAAATCTATAGACAGAGAGGCATTTTGTAAACAGGTGTGAATGACACTGCTCCATCAGGCATTAAATTGGAGCTACTCCTGAAAAATAGTATCATTTGTGCATTTAAGTTACCAATATTTTATCAACTGCAGTGTTTTTACACCAAATATTCCTTGTGGTGCTCAGCCAATTATACTTCAGCAAGATCTCTCACGCTTTTAGTAGCAGCATAAAATAGGCTACTGCGTGCTTCTCATGTCCTTTCTGAAAGGTTGATGTAAAATGTCTCAAAATTATCTCTGAGGAGTGTATCAGCCTTTGAAACAGGGCTGCAAACCAGGCAATGCCTGAGGGAAAGCAGCTGATGTAGGCAAGCAATTCTTTCTGCATGTCCAAAAGAAAGACAGTAGGAAAAAGAGAAAGCTGTTTTCTTTTTGTGACAATTATTTAATGTTAACATCAGCTGCACCCAAGGCCTCTATTCTAGGCAGCAAGTGGATACACAAGCACCCACAGAGCGCCCGGGTTCGGCCTTTGGGCCAAGATGGCCGCTCGCTCAGCCCGCACAGGCCTCAGCCCGCACAGGCCGCAGTCGCTGAGGGAATTTTTATTCCTTACCCCTTTTTCCTAGCATTTAGATACGACTTTCACACAGCGGTAGGAGCAAACGCTACAGCAAAGCAAGAGAAGTGCGTTTTACCTGACGAACTTCACTACGGCTACACCTACAGACCGACCACCGCGGGGGGGAGAAACAGGAGCGCGGCACGAACATGGAGCGGGAACCTCCCTCCTCAGAGAGAAGCAGCACCTGGTGCCCCTCGCTCCCCCAGCTGCTCCGGCACCAGCCCCACGGCTTGTGAGACAGACAGGCTGGTTTAAGTGTTTGTGAGCCGGTTCCAAGTGTTTGTTCTCTGCAGGCAGGCAGAGAAAGGTGAGGCGCGGGTTTTAGTGTCATTTATTTGGGGAGGGAAAAGGGAAAAAAATAAATAAATCAAGAGAATGATGGCTTTGCCACTGAGAAACTGCATCACTGAGCAGGGGAAGGGTGTCTAGGGAGGAAGATAAGGTCTCATCCACAAGTAGTGAGCCCTGGGAGGTAAAAAACAACAGAAAATGGACTACAGAGGGTAAATGTTAAATTGTTCACATAGTTTTCAAATTAAAGGTCTGAAAGAGACCAATCTTCTCGAAGTAAAACTTCAGTTTTATTTACGTTTTATTAGAAACATTGCACAGAGGCAGGGTCTTTCACAAGCACTGGTAACCTGGTGCACCTCTGGAGGGTTAGTTTCTCTGGCTTTTCACTGTTAGGGCCTCGGGCAGAGCCAAGCAGAGCGTTGCTGCCAAGGAAACACAGCACCACAAAGCATACTACAGCAGTGGCCTTGCAGATACAAAGGCAAGTCAAGGTTAGCTAGGGAAGTCAATTTTCTCTAGGATTACAGTAAATTGAAGAGCAAAAAAACCCCAAAAGGCACATGTCTGGATTTGGGCTTCTTCCATCACAGCTTCAGTCCTCTCCACCACACAGGTTCAGCAGTGCCCTCTGGTAATCCCCTTTTGTGTCTTGCTGTAAAGCAAGGGAAGAAAAATACAAAATACACATGAGGAAACAGTCACAAAATACAAAAGTATATGCATTATATTCTAAACCTGTAGGACAGGCTATGTTCTGCAGCTGAAGCCTTATCAGCCTGGAGGAGAGTACGTGGACTGAGTTCTACTTATGTGTGAATTTAAATTATTTCTTATTCTTGCAATACAAATGCAAGGCCAAGAGAGAATTTTGGTATGAAAAAGAGTAACACCACAAAGGAAAGCTGAAGGACTCGATTCTGTTCCTTCTTATTGATCACTGCAAAAATCATACATCAAGTTCACTATTTTGCAAAGTTATTATAATATAAAATTGCTATCTTCAGGAAAAGATTTTGGCTTAAAGTTTTGATGCAATTTCATCTACACAAGGAAGAATGTATCATATGCTGTTGTGAGGGTGGGTAGAAGGCTAATTTTAAAAAAGAAGCACAAGCTTTACCTATGCCCCAAGTTAAATAAAAGCCAGTACCTATAGTCCCTAGTTAATCACCAAAATGGACAAAAATCACTTTAGCTAAAAAGCCAACTTCTTGGGCTCTAAACCAAAATGGAACAGCAATTTAGATGCTCTGTTTTCTTTCAGCAATCACAGAATAATTTTGGATTTTGCTTTGGTCTGAGGATAGGGACAGGTGAGCAGAATTTTCCTTCACAGCACATCAGCTGATTGTACAAAGCCTACATACACTTGACAAGTGGCTGCCAGGAGTTGTACCAGCTGTAAACTGTAAAGTTAAAGGTGGATTTTTCAAGAGTGCATGGATAATAACATATTATTCTCACTGCAGCCTTTAAAACTTCTCCCTTGAATTCAGTTAATCTGATGAAGACTGCTGCAAAGGTCCATACAGTGGATATAAAAAGAAAGCTGAAAAACTTACCTGGATGAAATAATAGAGAGACTTTCCATATTTCCTTTTGAATTCACTCTTAATTTTCAGCATGTCAACCTCACAGCGGGAGACCATAATCCTGATCAGAACCTTGTCACGAGTTCCCTTGCCCTACAAGCAGATACACAGTTAGAATTGTCATAGCTGAAATGTGTGCCAGACCCACTGCACCTAATCTAAGACTACAAACCACAGGTACATGAGATGTAACAATGAAAGCTACAATGAACAAAATCTTCTAACTTAGGTTGTTATTATTATGATCCAAGAATTTGAGCATGAACATGCCTTGATCCTCAGCTGTGTTTGACCAACTTGCAGTCACAAGCCTAGATACTTAGACTGCAAGCAGCAGTTCTAGTTCAACAGGAGGTCTTCCTGCTATTGCCTGATGCCTGTCACCAGGCTTCTCTCTTTCATCCCTTTTCTTGAAAAAGTACTTTGAGGCAAATTTAGTGTCTTATTTTGACACTTCAATAAACACCTTTTTCCGCTATCAGTTTTTGGTTACCTGCAAAAGATGTGTCTAACTTTGCTAACTATAGTCCACTAATCTAATACAGATCACTGCTACGAGACCATTCTCTATACTTAAGCCAAATGCATCTGAATACTGTCTAGGCTCATAAGTGTTAAAGAATGCTTTTGAACAATACTAAGTCATGGTTAATTTATTCACATCCCAGTCACATATCATATGAATAAAAGTGCTTAAGGAATAAAAATTTCATTAATCAATGGTGAGAAAAAATGAGTAGAAAGAACAGTCTTCCCTACCTTCATAGAATCATACAGTCTGTCCGCAAAATACAGCTGCTTGTTCTGAATGCACTGGACTGAAAAGAGAGGTAAAAATAGTCAAATATCCTGGGCATACGTGGAAAAGCAGAACACAGAATCTTGGAGCCATTTTTAAAGATGTGAAAAGTAGTCAAAATAGGGTTTTCAGCAGAATTTTCTCCGAAAGGGGACACAGAAATCCTTTTCACCCGAGTTGTGACTTAAAAGTCATTTAGCTAAGCTTGTAATTGAACCACAAATGCTTACAATCTGAGAAGGTATTTCCCTCCAGCAGTACAATTTCAGAATTCTAGTCCTCCTCCACACACACAGTTAATTCTTCCACTTCTATAAGCAACCTCTTTTCTGAAAACACTCATTGTATGCTAATCCATGAGAAGTCTCTCTGTCAATGCTGAGCTGTTTATTCTCCATTTGCATCACAGAACCCTCAGTTCATGCTTAGTCTGAAATAGATTTTTCTCTTTAGGAATTTCCTTTTAAACATGGAGACATCCTTATCACCTTCTTCTCATGCCACAGTACCAGCCTTACACCCTGCCTCCCCATTTCAGATAACTTTCAGATAACTAATCAGCTTTTATTAGCCTGTAGCATCCTCCACTGCCCACCTGTCTTCTCTCTCACACACACTGTTCTCTCCCCTATGTCTATATTTAATACTAAATGTCTTCAACTGTAGTTCCAACTTTTTTGTTTGTTTGGGAAAACAAACATTAAGCCTCTGTATAAAATAAAAGTGGAACTAGCAACAGATCACAACACACATGCATTTATATTTTCAACTGGTAAGCAAAGTTTACATATTCAGGATGGCAAAAATATTCTACTTATCAATACCTGTAAAATCCTAAAAGGGACTAGCAGATTCAACAATACCAGCATGCTCATTTTTTCCTCTCATCCAGCACCACAGAGGAAGCTGGGCCCTACCCTTACTGTGGTACTCTGAAAAAGCACCGAAAAGATCCTATCTAAAGATATTATTTACTTCAAGGTGACTCACCAAGATTGAGGAAGGCATTCTCCAGATCTCCCTTAACCTCCTTCTTGATGCTCTCCAACATATCATATGGGCTGTAGCTCTTGTATCTGTCAAACACTAGAACAAGAAAGGACATGAAATGAAAACTGGACCAAGAACTGCTAAAAGTAGCCACCCAAATCAAAAACTGAGACAGCAACAGAGAGACACGTGGTTTAAAAAAACTATTTGTCAAAGTCCTTCTGAGAACTTTATCTTATATACAGCCTAAATTTGTCAGCTGATAGTGCAGTTCCCATGCTATGCCTGTGGTTCTCCTTGAACACCTCTATAATCTGGTACAATACCATCTTAATCCTGTATCAGTATTTTTTAAACAGTGATCTAGGCCCTGAAAAGTCTTCAAATGGCCTTCCCATGTGCTTCTTATAGCAACATCAGAGCTTGTTTTGAGAGTTTCCACTGTCGTATTTAATCATGACATAACTGAGTACCATTACACCCATGTAAAAGAGCTCTATACACATTCAAACTGAGATCAACACATTCACAGAAATAGCGACAGTTTTGAAAAAAAAATTAACAGCTTGGACATGAACTACAATTTATGAGATGTCCTGTGTTTTATGAGTGGTTTCCATACTCATTTCAATCATATCTGCAACAAAATAGTTGCCACTTTGGTATAGTTTTCTCTCATAGGAAAAAAATAAATCTGCCTCTTGAATAGTACCTTTCTGCAGGTGAGGGACACTTCTTTCAGTCATAATGCTGATCCACTTGGGAACATCAGTTCCCTTCCTTTTCACACCAGCATCATAGAGCTCCTGGGGTTAGAAAAAAAACCCAAAAAGCATGAAAATCAGGAGTTAGACAAGAGGCCATCACAAATGTATTTATTTTCTGACTGGAAAACAAACTAATCAAACTGTGTCAGTGGGAGAAAGATAAAAGGACACATAGTTGGGCAGACCATCAAGACAAGATCTATGGATCTCATCTACAACTAATTACTTTGTATTTAGCTCTATCTACAGGTTGTACTCTATATTTAGCTCTCTCTACATCAGCAGAACTGTTTCTGACTGAACAGATGTAGTTAGACAGGTATGTAATAAACAGACATTAACAGCCACTAAGCTCAATGACACTTTTCTCAATCCTGCACAATTACTTGGTTGCAACCAGTCGTAGCAATGCTTGCATTTCCTTTTGTTAGGGCTCTTTCTCAATATGCCAGAGGGAAATACCAGAAAGCATCTATATAGGTACTAGTGGGTAAGTAGCCTATGAAAACTGATAGCTGAAGGTATCAGGATTGCAAGTGGCAGATACCAGGAGAGCATGCAAACATTACAGTGCAAGACAATCTGAAATACACATACCTACTTTAAAAAATGCTTCACATTCCCATAGCATTTGTATTTTCAATTTCCCCAAAATCTTGATCAACTTAAGACATTTAATGGTCATTACCAGCACTTACCCTAGCATCTATGTCAATCAGCTCATAATCAATCACAGGGCTTTCTTCACACCTTTTGCCCTTTAAACAAGAAGAGCAGTATTTAGAAGAGGTTTTATAGACAGTAAGCAGCTTGCTATCTACATACTCTTTTCTCTTTGATGGTTTTTAAAGTGAATTTGCTAAATGACTAACAGTATGCTCCATCCCATTACAAAGCTGCTGCTTATGAATGCTGCGTTTCTATGAAAATTCTTTGCCCTTTAACATTTGAATATTTTTTCCCTAAAAGACAATGAAAACACAAGCAAATTTAAAAGTGAATCAGAAATCCAATTGTTTTACTGTCAGCCAGCCAGTCAGTTATGAAAGGGCAGGCACATGAGAAAAAATATTAACAGCTCTACCTTGGCCAGGGCAACCATCAGCTTGCGGAAGTCACCGGATGTGTCTGAAATTATGTCCTTTTCCAGTTCTGTCTTGTACACTAGAAAATAAAAAATTCTCCTGAAGTAAATGATGTCCTACAAATACTCCTCTACAAAAAGAACTGCTGCTATTTAATGTGTTTAATGCACATAAACAGCTACAATCTACATCACATGTGGAAGACAATGGAAACAAATCAGATACAACAGAAACAACGTTGCTACCAGCTAGTCATGAGAGTTCACACACAATCAAAGCCTGTCATGGAAAGGCAACAGGAAAGCCTGAGACTATTAAATGGAAGGGAATACTGTGTTAAGGTTAATACCATGCTAGATCATCCTTAGCTACCATTCAATGCTTACTTGTTTGATGAACAGAGCATTTATGCCTTCTCCACTCCTGGATTTACGGCAGGACAACTGCATTTACAAGTTCAATGCAAAAGACAAAAGCTGTCACAATAAATCAAAGGGATGCTGTGTGTGATTCCAGTCTCATGTCTAAACATTTTCACTGCTTTCCAAGTGGTAATACTATATATTGCAACAAAATCACATTCTTTCTTCTTTTCAGCAGCAACCTTATCTAAAGCAGCAAGTCTCTTTGCTGATAGGTATTTTTTTTTTCAATACCAGCCATTAAGACAACATTGTTTTTTCTTGTCCTTTATGACTTTGCCAGCAACTTACCAGAATTGCTTGACAGCTACTAAGCATCAGCACACAGCAACTTTCTACATTTCAGTCTATTTGCGGTGAAGCTCAACTCCAATGCTGAGGGAAGCAAACAGGCACTGGAGAGCTGCACTACTGAATTGCAATAGACCCAACCAGAATGGTCAATATAAAAATGTAAGGAATATTAAAAGCAAATTAATATTCTTTGAGGATGCATCTTAGACACCCTTATATCTAGTTATAATAAACTAACAATTATAGCTTCAATCAGGTAACAGGCTTTAGAAAAGCTGAAAACCAGAATATATGCTTTTATGAAGTTTTATTTAACGTTTTTTTCTGCCAGGTTTACCAAACAAACTTAACAAGCATGCTTCAGTAGATTCCAGATTCACCTATTTACTACACAATTGATTCTAAAATCCATAAATCTACCCTCACTCATTAATTCTGTCACTATGCACAGAATGCATGTAGCTTGGAAAAAAATCCTTCAGACACAGCTTATATGAGTAGTCAGTGTTCTCCAATCTGTTTGCTACTGAACAACAAGATGAAAATACGATACACAGAATTATGCAGGACACCAGTACAACACAGTATCTCAAGTCCAACTGCCAGGGAATCAAAGCAGATGTGTAAGTGATTCTGATAATCAAATTTCCACCGAGGGAAACTTATCAAGTAAGTTATTGTAAAAAACACAGTACATTGGAACTTTCAAAGTAAACTTACTTTCCCTGTAGACTCTGTTAATTTCACTAAGCTCCTGATTTGTTCGTGAGCATATGATTTCAATGAGTGTGTCTTCATCAGTTCCCAGACCCTACAAAACAAATATGATTCAGTTAGGTGCTAGAAATGAAGAGGCATGCTTGAATGGTATAAAAATATTTTACCAACACTGTCTCCTGCTCTGACAGTTTCACAACCATTCAGGGATATTTTTTGCTAACTGCACCAGAGAAACCCCAGATGGAACATTTTTAGTTGCCAAATATTCCTCCAATAGCTTTGAGATCCTGTAGATATTATCTCTGGGTAACATGCATTTGCTGTCTCTGTAACACTCAGTGGATGAGGTCAACTTAGCACAAGACCATGTGTGATTGTTTTCTATCCACTGACAGCACCGGAAGAAAAATTCCATTCTTACTATACACCTGGGCAGCTATCAACTTGTTATTTCCTGCTTTTCTTCCCCATCTCCCTCCATACAGCTCCTTCACTATAAATGCAAAGCCAAGGATGTCACCATGATAAGCTTTGGCCTTGCCTGCAAGTCAGCAAAGATTTAAGTGTATTCTGGATGTCTAGCATAAAGGGTGGCTGCCAAACAAATGGAGACTCCCTTTTTACAAGGAGTCACATGGAGAAGAGGAGGGGTAACGGATGCAAGTAATACTCCCAATTGGACACGAGAAGAAAAGTTTTCACTCTGAGAACAATCAAGACATTGGAATAACCTCCCCAAGGAAGTGGTGGATTTCCCAACACTGGAGGATTTAAAGATTCAGCTTGACAAGGTGCTGGGCCATCTCATCTTAACCATGTTTCTACCTAGAAAGGTTGGACCACATGATCCTTGATGTCCCTTCCAACCTGCCATTCTACACTACACTTTCAACCTAGCTGCATTACTACTGTTTAAAAAGTAATGAGCACTATAACAAAACTACAGAACACATCGAAAGTATCAGCTAGCAATTAAACCTTACAGTAAACTCAGAAGCCCCAAAATAATGTGGTTTGATAAATGTGGTCTAAACATTGTTCAATTATTTTACATAAACAGCCAAAAAAAAAAAATATATATATATAAAACTTGCTAATGATACTATAATATCCTTGTTCCTGGAGAAAATACAGGAAACTCTGAAGGTCAGGCTCAGAACAGAATACTAACTCGGATGAAGATGCTTCTCACTTCTGGTGACCACCGGGGATGTCTGGGTTACTAACTGGTAAAGCCATCTGGCAGCCAGATGCCTCAGTATTTTATTAAGTATATTAATAAGAACAGACTCCACTGGCAATTTTTTCATTCTGTTTTGTTTCTTACCTACCAATGGACCATGTTCATGCTCATCTCATTAGCCTCATCTTCCAGCATCACCAGCAGACAGAAAAAACACTCTTATGCCTCCTGTTATGATGCTGTTTGTTAAGCCCACCTGTAACAGAATGGGCTGTCATCTTGTATGTGGCAAAAAAGGACATGGTCTGCACAGGACTCCAAGAGGAGTCTGCTGGGTAACATCTTGGAAAAACCTTTTCTGCATAAAATGGAAGCAATTATGTAGAAAGCTAGGCTCTTGGAAAAAGTGTCTCTATTGAAGAACTTAAGCTCAGGAAAATGCAGAACATTAGACCAGGTGCTTGGGAGTTGGGGATAGCTGACCTGTGGAGATAATAGAGTATTCTACACTTCTGGCTACTTCAAGGTAATGGCTTGGTCTTTGGGCTGTAAATAGTGTATAGATGCTATATAAGTATATGGTCATCCCTAATATAACACATCAGATGTAAGACATCCAAAAAACTCCACAACAAAAAAAACCAAAACCAATCTGATATAATTCACAGCAAATTTCAGCTAGTCTCAACTTAAACCAGATGAGGGCAGCATCTAATTACTCAAAGGAGAGATCTGGCCCATAATTAAAGAATGACCATTTCTATACTGGGTTGGTTTTTTTGTTTTGTTTTTTTTGTTGTTTTTTTTTTGTGGGGAGGGTGATTTTGTTTGCTTGTCTTTTAACTCCTTTTTCATAGCCTGGAGAAATTAATTAATTGATTTTTTTTAATTGTTCTGGATTTCAACAGACATATTTTAACAATTTAAAAAATTATTAATAAAAAATGAACCTGATCAATAATTTTATAATCCAAATTCCTAAACCTTAGTTCTCTTGGAAGGTGAATGCACTGGCATGAGCACCTGCCAAACTCTTGTTTCAGTGGCCTGCAGAGCAGGTATTTCCGAACTAGCAATCTATTCCATGCTTGCCTGTGATTGTGGAGGACTGAACACAGTCCCTCACTACTGCACCATTTCTCCAAAGACTGCTTTTATTGCCCCATCCTCCTTGCTCTCTACACAGAGGCAGGTCAGGTACAGGATGTTCTTTCCAGATACGTGATATGACCCAGTAGCTGGAAACTACTGTTTAAGCCTATAAATGCTAGCAGAGGATTTAATGGCTCCAGCTAACAGCTGCTCTCTGGTTTTTTTTGTACTATAAACCTGTATATTGTTTTTAAGAGCAGTCAGCAAAGCAGCAACCAGCCCTAGCAGCCTATCAGTTATTCCTGAGCTGATTAAAGTTATTTTTTTCCTTAAAGAGAGGATTTAATTAACAGCTTAAAATCACATTGTTCCACAAGTTCTCTCATTTTGGATGCCTTGCAGCTGGATACTTGAATTGTTGTACTAAAAGGAAATAATAATCAGTGCATATGTTTGGAAACTGTGGCCTTGGGTATGAAATCCATACTTACTCATGAGACAGCAACATCACACTAACATACTTAATTTCAAAGCTCGTTTACCTTCATGGCAGCTTTCAATTCAGAGGCATCATACTGTGCTGGTGTCTTCAGCAAGCCCAAGATCACTGTCTCCAAATGACCCGACAGAGCAGACTTGAGTGCTGCAGAAAGTTCCTGTAAAAGAGGAGGTATGATGGAATAAAAAAATAAAATTAAAGCTCACTTCTGATCTCCAGAGAATTTAGCCTGTAGTGCTTTAAGTCTCCATGCCTGCAACAGTGTTTCTTACACAATTGACAAGGAAACAGAACATAAAGAGCTTCTCTTTTGTGAAAGCCTAAGAAAGAAATCAGGGCAAAGGAATTTTTTATCATCCTTTGAAAATAAGAAATCCACTGGTGGCTGACAAAGTGATGGGAAGGATGGTGCAGGAATATCTGAACAGCTCTGCTCCAGTTTTGAAGCACTGACACTTTGTTGGAGCTAACAAGCATAGATGGATCCAAGTTTAACTCCCTGGAGTCAGTGCTTCTCCATCATACTCCCAGTTTTCCCAGCAGCAATGTATTATTTGTGTTTTTCCTATTATCCCAGCTCTTTACTAGCTGAGACATTGGAAAATTGACGGCACAGTTCTTCCACTGTACAGGCCCCGTTCACAAACATCTAACTGAAGAGAAAAAATCGTTCCCAAGCACAGAAAAACTATCCCTGTCTTCAAGGAAACTATCAGAATTGCGTAGCCAAAGTCTCTATGGTTAATTGTCAGTCAGTCCTGGAAAAAGAAAATCAGGTATGTTCATATCCCAGGATGCATGCAAATCTGTAGCAAAGTCAGAGGTGTGTTCTCTTTTATGGGTTTCAGATGCAACTTGAATAATGCTTACTAGCTTCTCTGCAGTATAGTTACAAAGCTGAAATCCCTGGGATCAAGTCAGGTTCACAGAGATCAATGCCTTCCCTAAATTGAAGTTAGGTCTGTAGCTTTCAGAAGAGAATTGCTGCATTTCTATTTCTAGTTTCTACACTAAAAATTTGTGAACTTGAGGAGCAAGGGAAAAGGGGGTAAAGAAAGTGACCTCAGCAAATTTGTAGAGAACTTTGCAGCAGAGAGATAAAGAGCTAAGGCACTCAGTTTATTTCCAGAGTCACCCATTAATCCAGGGCACTAATATGTGCTAATACTGTATGGATTGACCACGAAAGTGAATGGGGGTTTTGGGCACCAAGCTGCTTCAGTCTAATAAACATTTTATTGCACTAACTCCATTTTGGATACAATTGTCTATTTGGGTGAATACAAGCTCTTCAGACATCATCTGAAACAGCAAAGATACTGTGTATCTTTCTAAAAAAATTTAGGATAACGCCAAGAATTCAATTAGCTAAGTGGAGGTTTCGCAATCTTTACACTTGGGTGTGAAGGCTGAAGGAAACACAAACCACTACAGGGGATTTACCATTCTCTACCATCGCTAGGGCTGCTCTAAGAGAGAAGTGAGAAGCAGATACTGCCAGTTATAATGAATTAATAAATAAGATGAAAGGTTTTGCTATGTGCTCCAAATGAGCATCTAAATAGTAGCAGCTCATTTCAAAGTCAGAGATTATTTGCAGCAGCTAGGACTGACCAGGCAGACACACAGGACCCCTGGTGTTCACTGGTAGCTCCAGTAAGGCTGGTAAGGGGGAAGGATTGCAGAGATCAAACACCACCCCTCAAGATTACCAATAGTTCCCATCAGCCACAGATTAACTGAAAGGAGTAAAAATAAAGGTAATCTGTGATTTTTTACAGTGTTAATAATCTATTAAGAAATCCTGCACCACACAAAGAGCGCAGCTTAGTACAACACATTGCCACAGAAAAACAAGACACTGTCCCTAGAAGATATAACTACATGTCTTTTCATATCACACTTCCTTCTCTCTTGCCATTCACTTGTTTATTTCACTGAGTTGTTTCTACTGAGAAGTGATTTTGCTTCTACAGACTTTTGTTTTTTCTTTGGCATTTCTTAACCTTGATTAATTCATTTTGCTCTTGGGTAGCAGCAAGGAAAAAAGGTGAGAAATGTTTAGCTGAAAAAAGCTGCAGATTTTCTTGACTGCACATTTTTGTGGTCATGCAAAATATTTAACAAAGCTTTAAGTGACACATTTAATTACTACAGTCCAACTTATATGTATGATTTTCCCAGTGCCCAGAGAGTGAGACTGCCAGGATGCAGTCATGTAGACTCATGCATGTGCCCAGCTTCTGTGTGATTCTGCATGTGTCTGTATCAGCCATGCATAAAAGTTGGTGAATTTCCAAAATGTTGTACTAGATTTACATTTGGTTTCAGATGAGCATTCTGGGCTGCTGTTGGAGCACTACCATTTGGGGTCTGTCAAACCTGAAAAAGTTTCATAATTATCACTCATTATCATTATCATGCATAAAAGTCATTCTTCATAATCCTAACTCTACATGAGTTTCCTTTTTTTTGTAAGCATAGAACTTCAATTATGAGACGACTCTCAAAACTTCAGAAGTCAAGAGAACAACTTTTGCCTTCCAGATAGCAAGACCCATTTGCATAATTCTGCACACATTTTACAGATTTCTCTCCATCAATAGATCAGTACCTACATTACTTCTGACAGGATCATACCTAGTAATAGTACAAGTCATTGTATCACTTTGTTCCACAACTGCACTGTTTGTAGCACAACTGACTGCAGCCTTTTCTCACTTAAGCTAGCTCTGTAACCAGAAACAGAACATTTTCCTTATGCTGAGTTGTTTCAAGCAAAAAACAAAAAACAAAACAAAAAAAAGAAGCCCTAAATCTTTCTTAATCTTTCTTCTGCATTTTCATTCAAACTGGGGCATTTGACATCAATGGCTTTTTACTCTTGCTTAGCAAATCTCACCCAGGATTTCTGATTGGCTGGCTGGCATATCAGCCACTGTGAGTTCAGTCCCAGTTGTGCACATTCAACAAATTTTGAAGTCCTACCAGTCCTAAGCTTTGAAAGCATAGACCATCTTCCATTTCAGTGAAAGATAAACCAAGTAATACTTATCTACAGTTTGTACCCAGTTAACTGTAAAACACAGAAGCCTTGAAAAATCTAGCTGTCCACATGAAAAATATTCAATACTTGGTATTTCTTCATACTTTTCTACCTTTTTGGTTCTCCTCTGATAGGCAAAAGCAATATCCTGCCTCTGTTCATTGCTGCGGTTTGTCAGGATGTTGACGATGGTGACCTCATCCACACCTACAAAGACATAAGACAAAGAGTTAAAGAAGCTTTCTTGTTATTGTTCTCTTTGCTTAATGAGCTCGTCAACACTCAAAACATAGCACCTGTGCTGTGTGGGGCAGAGCTCAACAGCCCTCATTAGTTAGTGCATGTCATGCCCTGGCCTTGGAGAAAGGGCAACCAATTACAGCCCAAATTTCTTATGTGATGCAGACCTTTATGTTCACCTCAACAAAGTATAGTTTGTGGCCAGCTTTACTACTTTTGTTTTCTGCTTCATGTGTATGTATGTGTACTTGTGTTCAGTCTCTCAGGGTTCTGCAAAGAAAGCTTCTCAAGAACATAAGCTTTAAAACTGATATGAACTTGTACTTACTGAAGAAGAGTTAGCATAGCTTACAGAGATGGATGGAGGAGACAGCTAGAACAGCTCTCCTTGTTATGCTCAGTATCAAGCTAAGCTATAGTTATTCTTTACAATGCTTTTATATAGTTTTGGACTATTTCCAGGCTGACTGGATGAAGCTTAGAAGAGGCAAAACAATTTCTAAATATTGCATGTCTAACACGGTGCATATTCCTCTGCAACAGAAAGATGGTGTATATTTTTTTCTGGCGAGTTCCATGTCAAGTTTAGAAGCAAAGAGGCAGCTCTCGGAACAAGCCCAGAGTTTTGATTCTGGTCTCTCAATGTTTGAGAAGTATTATGAATAGCTTCTTTCACATTTGCACACACAGCAATGTAAGTTATGGTATTTTTGATAAAAACCAGAAAGTAAGGATGGGATCAGTAGCTTCTAGGAGGACTCAAATCCCTGTCGGAATTCCTCTACATTTATTTTCCTTATTACTCAAAGCAACCTCACAGCACATTGAAACAAAAGACTGTAACAGATACTGTAAAGTTAATTATATAAAGTGTGAATGTTGCAAAAGACCTTTGAGCCCCTAGCCACAGAATCTAAAATGCTGAGTCAAATCCAAAATTCCTTTCTCCCTCTTCACATTTTTCATGATGAAATACTGTACTTGATAGCCTCACATCCGTAGCTCATGCTGAGGCAGACCTACATCAGTGCTCCTATTCACACAAGCTTGGTCTGCAAAGTCATAAGGTCCTGGAAAGCACCATATGTCTTAGCTACAAATTTTGGTTTGAAAACATGCTGACTGCACATTTCAGCCATAATCTAATCCTGTACATTTTAAAGTGCCCCCATTTTATAAAAGAAAACAAATTCTCCCAGTTCAGAAATGGCCACACACAGACACAGGGCCTTTCAGCTGTTGCAGGGCCACAGCATAAGCCAATGTCTTAAGCTTTTTTAATAAATTCTAAATTTAAGCCATTCTTGGCATTCAAAAATGGCAAATGACATTTTCAAGTTTTATCACAGCTGTGATAGATTAGATGCCCTCGAATGACTGCATCCAAGTTTCTTCATCGTATGCTCTGTGGATGGAAATACAAAAGTTAACTCATTATTCTGGCATTTAATGGAAAATAAGCGCTTGTACTTCACACTTGGGAATCATGCTGCATGGGCAGGATGGTGACTCACATCTGCTGGGGTGGGGTGGAGCAGCAAAGCAGCTCAAACATTTTTCCTTGCTGTTCACTAAAATATCAGGAAGTTTCAGGGCAGTGAAAGAAAAGATTAATTTCCAAATTTATTCTGGCCGGGCAGATTTTATCAGCCCATTTTTATCAATGGGCATCTGCAAGTTAGATGCTGTGGCTCACAATTACTTTTTTTTAAACAAAAAAAATTCCTTGCAGATGGAAGTGTGTTTGATGGTGGTAAAAAAGTAGATTTTGAAAAATCCCCACCCCTCTGATTAGTAAGAGGTTTTATTCTAAAAGAGGCAATCTGTTGGACTGGTAAGATCACACTGCTATGACTCGATCATCCAAAAAAAGAGGAAATTAACATAACAAAACCCAGAGTTATTATTAGTTTTTGTTTAAAAGACAATGTACTTAAACTTTCTTGGGCCAAAATAATGGCACCAGCATTTTCCTGAACAAATAGGTGACATGGACAGTCACTTAACTTTCTAGGACAAGATGAGAACAGAGCTAAGAAACTTTGTTGGTGTTCATACATTCAGCTCATTTACTACCAGTCTGTTCTATCAAGTTTAATTTGCAAAGTCAGCATGGACAGAATACCAGAAGCTATTTCTATCCTAACAGCATCTAGGTACTACAGGGATCCTCAGCCTACAGGAATGAATTAAATCGGGTTGCAACTGGCCTCAAGTTACTAGTGGGAGGTGTCTGTGATTGGCTCTCGTGACACTTGACCACCACTGTTTATCTGGTACCAACACAAGTCTATTTGACCGAGCTCATCATCTGCAGCATCTTATTTGCTTTCAATAAAACCCTGATCCCACTAGAGTGAAAGGAAAAAATTCAGGTAAAAATTTCAGCTCTGCTATTTTGTTTAGCAAGATTTCACCGAACTCAAGCCATGTTGCAATGAGATATTTCTTTACTGATACTATTAATGTTCTGAGTATGTGAATTATACAGTTGGTGGATTTCAGACACTGTCCTCCGCCACCAGCAGGCCAGCAGATTTCCTCTAAAATGTTTACTTTGTAACATCAAAAACCCTGTTAAAAGGCAGGTGCAAGTTGAATATACTACATAAACAGTGAATTGCACCTTACAGATGATCCCTATTATGGTTTACACCTCATCATTGTTTTACTAGTTTCTGGATATAGTAAATTTATTACAGATATGTGTTCTAAGCACTTTCCTACCATAAACCTGTGTTTGAATTCTGCCAGTCATGCAGTCAGGAAGTACAGTATGAGAGCTAAATAAAAAGTTGCAGCCTAGGTTGCAAGTAATTCCATACTGACAACTTCATCTGACAATAAAATTGTTTAACAAAGTATTTGAGACACACAAAGTCACAGCTAGGGAATAACTCTGAAACTGAAGAGACAATTCAGCAGTCTTTTTTCTTACAAAGAATCAAAACTGAATGAAACATATGCTCTGATAGTACTCTTTTCGTTAGTCAATTTATTCTATTTAGGCTCATACACTTAAGTTAATCTATATACAAGGTAAAATGGAGCATTATACAGAAATTGAGCCGCTTCTTGTCCTATAAAACAAAAATCCAACATTTACAAAGGACATGCTAAGGTTCTAGATGAACTCACTAAATAGCATAAAAATGAAACTGGCCAAGCAATGACATTATTACAAAAAGAACAAGCCAGAACTGTAACAAGTTATTTGCATTACACAAACTCCGGGTAGAACTTCCTAGGAAAAAGGTATCTGCTGTGGGTATATATTGTTTGTTTATTATGAGTGCTGTATTTTTAGCTCAAAAACTATGAAAATATTTTCCAGAAATACTCTTAAAAGCTTTCTTGCACAAGTCTCTCCCTGTATAGCTGTTTACATGACTGTTTGTGGAAAATCAATTCTTGTCTGGATGATTCAGAATTTTCATTTGGAAAAAAACCCCATATATTTTAGACAGTTGACATTTTTGCAAATATTCTAAATTAACAAAAAAAATAAATAATCCTGTAACCAAGCATTTGAAATACAAGGACACAGTACCTAGAAGAAGGGTCCTAACACTCTTGTTCTGCATTTCCCACATAAATGCTTTGAGATTCAGTATTAAAACTATAAAGAGATTCTCTTCTTTAAAGCCACCTTCCCAAATAAGCTCCTGGATAACAAGCTAATAAGCAGAGATAAGCTCAATCCTACAAACATGCAGGTCCATTAGTAAGTTTCCCTATTATTTGTTCAAAGGGTTGGGAATCAACTCTCTTAATGAAATGTTTCCATGTATCTTAAAACCATACTCAGCAAACTGCTTAACTGTGCTGGAAGAAAGAAAAAACACTACATGAGCTTGACTTTCCTGGCTGGAAAAGCTTTTGCACTGCCTAGGATATTGCAGTTTCTTTTTGCATTAATTACAGCTTGAGCGTTAAAATGTGCAAATTTGTACTTATCCTGAAAGTCTGACAGTGTATTTGACATGTAAAATTTACCCTATAATAAGAGCTGCAAAAATTTAGTAAGGCTAGACAAAACTCTACACACACATCTTCTGCCAAACAGGATGACATTTACTTTGCTCTTGCAAGAGGATTTTTTTTAAATAGAAACAATCCATGAAATGATTCAAAATCTGAAAAATCCAATTCAAAAACTGAATCTGCTTTAATGACCAGACAAGAGTTCTCTCCAGTTAAATGAAGAAATCTTGGAAAAGTAAGACCCATGTTTGTTAGGGAGGGGCAAAATTTTACAGCAAGTCAAACATGTGCTTTCTTGGCACTGATGGAAGACCCTGCATTTCTTTCTGATGAGAAGCTGGTTGGCTTTCAAAATTTCTCCCCACTCCTGACATGTAGGCAAAAGACTTGGCAGCTCTAGCTACACCCAGATGTTGCTTCACAGTCCTGGAAGAAGCGTTTAATGTGTAGCACACCCTTTCTTTGTTACAGAGCAGGATGAGGACAGAGGGTCACTGCCCTGGGAGCACCACCAAGGTATTACTCCAGATTTGTAGTTCTTACTCCCTGTGCTCCTGATTGTCTCAGTATACCAGCTTCTCCATGCAGCTGCATCTCTTCCCTCTCCATCATGGTCTCCTACCAGTCAGTGGAAGTGGTGGATCCTGATACTAACATAAGGAGATAGAAACCTACCTGACAGTCTGGCTCAGAGAAACAGAGGAGTCTCACATTGCCCTAATCCTGAAATACTGCAACATCATTTCAGAAACTAGATTATGTTGTTTCTAAGACTTTCTTTGACCCCAATTAACATAAATGACACAAGCACTTAGTTTAAAACCCAGGAGAAAATTTTCAAACCACCCTATTCAGCTGTCTGGAGAGCTGAAAGAAAGAAGAAATGTCCAGCCCAATAATCCAGTAGAAATCCATTATTCAGAGCTTGGTCCCAAATCACTGCCACAGAAGTTGACATTTCATTCTCAATGGCAGAAAAGTAGTAGAATTTGAAGTACTGATGAGTCAAGAGAAAAAAAATGGACATTTTCAGTGATAACCTCAACAACTCTTGGCTACAAACTTCAAAAGCATATTCAAAGCATGCATTAGAGTTCAAAATCTAAGTCAAGATTTCATCAGTGAGGTCTGAGAAATCTAATACCTAGAGTAAGGGTATTAGAACATTGGTCTTGAGACTCAGAGTACCTTTTTTTTTTTTTGCACATCAGCATTCTATCTTACAAGTAGAACCAAAGGCATAGCCCATGTTCCTCACCTTTGGTCTTGATGGCTGTTTCCAGGGCTGCAGCATCCCGGTCAGCATCAAAATTTGAATAGGCCTTAACTGTGGCATATGCACTTGGTGGGAGAGAATGCTAGAATAAAAACAACCTCAGAGTTAAATCATGCAATAAAACCTAACACATTCCAAGTGTACTCACTAAAACTCAGTCTTCTAAAATCTGGAGTTTTCTGGCTAGATCTGAAGGAAATGGATGACAGAAAGCTAATTCAAACAAAGTTTAAGTATCTGCTGTAAAAGTCTGAAGTATTTTACATTTGAAGCCAATACTCTCCTTTGGATTCCAGACTACTTCAGAAAAAAAAAAAAAGTAGAGAGATGGCAGATTAACAATGAGCCAGTAAGTCAGAAGAAGTTTTGTGTGCCTTACCTCACAGCCTTTAAAGGCAACACCAAATAATATTTTTAAGCCTGTAGTTCTAGAAAGCACAAGTTACAGTCTCCTTTTGAAACTCTGTGCCTGCAAACTAGGTTTAAGCAGCATGAGGCTAACAAAACCAAATAACGTATCAAATTATCTCTGCTAGGGATAAGACAACTTGAAGCTAAGTTCATTTAGTAAACAGGTGCAATACGTTACAAGTTACCAGATTTTATCAGTTGTTTATTATTGATCTCTCCTGAGGACTACAGCTTCAAGTAGATCACCAGCACTGAGATACAACTCTTCTCAGCTGCTTCAATGCAAGCTAAACCTTGAGCTTGTACCACCTCACATGGCGAGGTTAAACCAAACCACAGATTTTAATATAAATAGCTGTGATATATTCACAAATCTCACTCTGCTGGGTTCCATCTAGAGACCTAAACCTCTGGCAGAAAGGTGTAGTGACTAACACCTGAAATTGCCATAGTGGTTTCCTAAGTAAAGAACCCCGGAAACTTTTGTTTCAGTCCCTAACTCCAACAGAAATCTGGGTTCATAAACAGGACTAAGCTATCAATGTCCCCAGAGGATCTTCTTACATGTGTACTGTTAAAAGGAGGACAAATTTTTATTAAAATATTCCCCGGGTTTTGACTACAATTGACTCTACCCCGGTAGGGGTCACACTGTCCTGAACTGATTCCTCTGGCAGCAACCACTGTGCCTTCCTGAGACAGTCTGTGTTATGTTGAGATGAGAAGTCAGAAAAGCACCCATAAACTGAACCATTCTTTCTTTTGTCTCTACTATCAGCCCAATCTAGCAAAGTGGCCCCGGTCTGGCCCACAGCCACACCACAAAACACAGCCTTTCTTGTTAGCAGATCAAATTGCTAACAGAAACAGTAAAGGGATATGTGCAATGCAGCCTTGGAGAAATCTGTGTGCCTGGAAGACTGCTACACCAAAGCCTGTTAGCATGCACAATCATGTGGCACTTAGCTACTTTAACCAGCAAGTCACCTGGTGAGCTTAGCAGAGCTGGGTGCCTCATCTTCACTTCACCCAGCTCTAAGTATTTTCTGAATCATTTGGACAGAATATCATAAACTGAGAAAATACAGTTTATTTGCAGTTTGGGAGCCATCTTTTCCTCTGTCCTTCTACCCAATGCATGCAGCAAGCTGGATTCAGATTCCCTGATGCTGGTCAAAAGGCCCAGGAAGCACCGTGTGGGCATGTACACCCTGGAAAGGCAGAAACCTGCTGGCAATGCTACCAGTACAGGTGCTCTCTTCAAATCCAGCATCCACAAAGACTGTCAAATCACTGCTTTGGAGAACTGGACAAATCTTTTACATAAAACTAGGAATAATAATTCTAGCCTCCAACTTAGGACCTACAGAACAAACAGGGTGCCTGAAATCCCTTACAGAGTATGGCAGGATTTCTGATGAAAATGCTGACATGGAAGAGTATTCAAATTTGACATTTGCAACTATGTGCAAGTATCATGGAAGAAACATTTCTGCCCTTGAGAAGAGATGTCTCAAATATTATTCCACAAGTAATTTTCTGCTGAAACAAACACAGCCAAGAAATCTGTAGGGTTGACTGCTTTTGCAGGACAAAAATCAGCTTTGCTGATACTTCCCTATAGTGCACTAGCCAGTTCTTCGCAACAGCTCTTTCACAAAGATCATATGGTGTAATTTATTTTGCAACAAGTAGCAAAAGTAGGTAAGATGTTTGCTTGTACCAAGCTCAGATATGGAGTTACCAGCTATAAAATGTATAAGTATAGCAAGTTTCTGTGCAACGTGATGAAATAATGCATGGACAGGATTTACTTCCTCTTCAGTGACAATCACAGAACTACAAATTCAGGGCATGATATCCTAACACTATACTGGTAACCCTACCATCTAATGTTGCAACCTAAGAAATCTAAGACGCTGTGGCTTCCTGGTATTTCTATAAAACTATCAAGCAAGTGCAGATGTGGTAGAAAACATGCAATCAAAACCAAAAATTCTTCATGCTTTTCAAAACAGAAAATAGGTAGTTTGGTTTTGGTGACAACTATTACAGGAATAATAGGAATTAAAATATTGGGGATCTTAAGTCATATTCTCTTATTTTTAATTAAGAAAAAAAAATAAAATAGCAATGAAAATTCAGAAGTGATGAGCAACATCAAACACATTTCCAACTTACCAACCCTAATTCACTTTTTCCTTTGAAAGAAAGAGGAACCACAGATAAAAAGGTAGCCACTCAGTCTGCCATATGATCTCTTTCATATGGCCCAGCAGGTAAATACTGCTCATGCTGCTGGCCAGTTAGAAGAACTGTCGTTACATCTAGTCACCTTATAACATTGTCTTACGGTTTAGAGCTGATCTCTGACTGAGAACTGATCACTGCTGACTAGGTTTTTAGTCAATGTAAGGAATCTCGTAAACTGTACAGTTCAGTACAACTGTTGGCAGGGAGTCCTGTAATGGAAACAAGATATGGCAGTTAAACTTTCCTTGTTTAGATTGTAATACTTACATCTCCTTCAAGGCTGAGCTTGCTTAAAATTTCATGGACAGTAGACATCTTGAAAGAATGCTGGAGGAAGAAAAAAAAAGTACACTTACTTCAATGACATCAGCACATTATATATTCCTGCAACACTGCAGCACTGAAAGTGAAATTAAAGCTTGTTTCTCAGGAACTCTACAACCAAGCTGTAGGAAGCATTATCTGTGAAAAGAGTTGGCTTGAGGGGAGGTAAAAGACAAAGGACAGCAACAACTCAAGACCAGTGACATTCCACTAACTGATAACTAAGCCTGGAACCAAAATTGCACAATTTCAGCGTCACTGGGTGCCACTCCCTTCACTTCCACACTGCCCATGGTTCCTCCAACCCAGCTCCCAGATACCATGCCCTCCTAGCCAACTCCCAGCTGTTGTGCAGCCAGCCCTAGGTATGTCTTTTTAACTGTTTTTCAGATTCCTTTTCTATCCTCCATCAGTTACTCTTCTTATGGTGCTGGGGCTTTCTCAGGCAAGCAGTACTAGCACCCAGGTAAATTTTCCAGGCCAACTACACTACTCTCCAACTACTCTCTGAACCAATGCTCAATCTGATACCAAGAGTTCAGAGAACCAGCAAAAAGTTTGAAATAGTTTCCTAAAAATGGAGACCAGGTTAAAACTCTAGAAAAAGCGTTTACTTCTTGTTTTAGCTCCTGTAAACCTCCTGTACATGAAGAGAAAAGCAGAAATCCTTACTTTTAGCACATACAACAAGTCTTATGAGAGAGAAAAAAAAGGAAAACCACAAATACATGGGTTTTGTAGTGTAACTGCTGTAATCACACTTTTCCTCACTTAGAATACAGTAATAAAACCTTTCATCTTCTGAAGCAACCTAGGAAACTTTATAGGAAAACAAAAAGTAACAAAAGCAACTTTACTTAAAGGAAAAAAAGTAAGATCCCAGAGGAGGGAAAATAAGACAAAGAGAATGAAAATTCAAGTCACACATCAACTTATTTGAGAATAGATTTTTTTCAGAGCACAAGTCCAATCCAGCCCTTTAAATACAGGCTTCAGAATTGTAATAAGCAGGTCCCTGCTGTTGGCACTGGTTAGCGGGGATGAAATATTACTGAGCTATGAAATTCGTAACGTTTGCTCTTATTAACACAAAGTGCCTATCATCAAGACCTTTGTACCCTGACAGTACTACAAACAATACCAAAGATGAGGAACTGAAGTCCTTTAGTCTTGTCACAGAGAGATAAAAAAAAAAAGCAAAGATGAAGCAAAGCTACTACAGTATAATCTTTCACAAAGCAATACTTGAACAGCTTTTTGCAAGACTTCTGTTTCTAAATAAATTAAAAACCACATTGAATCAGGCTTGTTGGAACAAAAAACTTGAACAGAGTCCAGGAAAAGAACCAACACATTCTCACGTAGAGCTGGAACTGAGAGGTTCGTATCATCAGCACACAACAATGCCACAACAACCAACTGCCCATCAGCAGCAAGAGCACAAAAGGGAAAGATGGGAGTTGTGGCAAGAATCTTTGCAGAGAAAGATCTTTACCCAGAAAACAAACAAATCTCTTGTCACACCCTACTTTGTAAGGCATTCATATTGCAGAACAGACTCTCATGGTTCTCTGATGGACTGATTTTATCTGATGTAATTTTGACAAGTTAAGGGTGTGTTTGAACATACAAACAGAAAATACTTGCACTAACTTGTTCTTCCTTACACTGGAAAAGAATCAACTTCTAATTCCATCTGTAAACTATACTTCAATACCTTAAGGCAAGTTTCTACAACTGGGTTTCCCTCCCAAATCCACATTACATAATCCTAAATCATGATGTTATTCCACTAAAAGTGTTAGCATCTTTTTTGACCTTGACCCTCACCGTAATAATTTGTCTGCAAATCTGTTGTTTGATTTGGCCTAGTCTATATACAATATCCCCAGAACTGGTGACAGAAGAGTGTGTTTAAAAACAGCTCTGTATTTCACTTCCCACAAACAGCTCATGCACATTACAGCAGAAAAAAATCCCATGTGATCCATGGAAAAGTGTCAGGTATGCACAAACAACCACCTTGCTCAATAAGCAAGCGTTAGCATTTTAAGAAGCACTTATACTCTTGTAGAGAGAGCTTGAGCAAAGGGTGTTCCCAGACATCTTAGCCAAGAAACCGGCATCCCCAGAATGAGAAAATGGAAACTCTCACTTGGAGATCATTTGGGTCAGGTCTCCAAAAACCAGGGTGAGGCCTGGCAACAGAGGAGATGAGGGAGAGCAAGAAAGATCTGCAATATCTGCTGAAAATTAAATAAGGACTTGAAATAATTAATTGATATGCAGTGCTAACCACAAGTACAGATGAGCCAGGCTGTATCACCTCAAATCATCCAGTAAGGTTTACCAGATCATCTAAAGCCGCTACTCGTAGAAAAAATTCGCTTTTCAGAACAGGATTTTAAAATCCCTTAAACCACACTACCACAAACATGCTTAAACTGTTTTTTTCCACAGACACTGCTAGTAGCCCAGGAGATGTTCCATTCCAGGAAGGCACGACGCACACACACAATTAAGGACTTTCATTTATTTGAATTCAAGTTATTCTCACGTCTGAGACTTCACAGGAAAACATTATTTTACATAAAGGTAAACCATTCCATACATTAGCTAATGGAAACTATACTTATTAGGGCTGCTTATCACAGTTAGCTCCACCAACACAAGACACACCCAAGGACAGATCACTCAGGGTTCCACAAGATTTTTTCACTCTTGACCTGTATGTCAGGGTCTGCACATCTCCGTGCAGCATTTGAGCATGAACACACGACTAACTGAAGTCAAACACAATGTAAGCTGCCACGTATATGAACACAACTCACTTCTGCATGACTATTCTTAAGTCATTTCACTTTTCCTCCAGTTAAAATACATGGCAACATTCCTTTGCCCTACCTCCCCTCCTGGCTCAGAGAGGAGGAAGTGTTCAAGCTGACTCACAATCCGAAAGGCAGCAGAGACATCTCAGCAATTCAGCTCGTGGCCAGGCAGGGTGGGACAGCTGTGCCCAAGCCTGGCTCTGCGAGCAAGGAACCGCACAGCGTTCCCTGGCACGCCGCGGGTGAGAGAGCAAAGGCAACCCTCGGCTAAGCACCGGCCCCCGAGAACACTCCCTGTGCAAGGGCTTCTCCCCTGCCCGTGCCAGCGGCTGCATCTGCAGCGGCGCCCGCAGCCACACCCTGGGAGGGAAGGGAAAGGGCCGCGCTCCGAGCTCGGCCGCGCCCGCAGGGCTCGTCAGCCCCAGGACACCTCCAGCCCC